ATTTTTGCATTGAATTTCACTTTGTAAGGCCGCCAAAACAAGTTTGGGCTCTGCGAGAAAGTGGGCTTCCCAGTGGAAATCAAGCCGTCGGCCGAGTCGCTATGTGTATAATAGAAAATCCAATCTATACTTGTGTATCTCGGTTAAAAATCAGTTTTCTGACAATTTCCAAACAAAACAGTTGCAAAATGTATATCATATTTCATAGTGGACTGAATACTGTCCAATCACCTGACTCAAGGCCCTATGAATCTAGCTTCATTCTACCGCTCACTTTTTAAGCTTCCGAATCTGGCCTCACTCATTTGTATGCTTTTCCTTTATTTTCCACTATTCAACAATTCAGGACATTTGGCGTAGTTGCGAGAAAACAGCGTCTCCTTCTGCACGAGAATATAGTTCATGTCATGTGCGAAATGAGTCCAAGCCAGCCAGTGGCAGCTTTGGTGCACTACATCAATCGCGTCTTCCTGGGCACTCAAAACTGACGCTGGAACGGTCCGCAACTGCACCTTTCTATCCAGGCCTTCGTTCGTTTCGCCTCTTCCAAGGCGAATTTCCCTATCAGCTAAATTTCTTTCACTCTGCCACCCACAACTTGCCAACTGGGACTGCTCTTGCTCCTGCTCTACTGATTAGCCTCTTTCTCTTTCCTAATCCTGCTCATGCCCCAAGCCTGGCAACCAGTACAGATGCTTTCTTTCTAATCGGATCACCTTGACATCCCTTGATATGCCAGCGTAGCGTAAGAGAGACTCCTCTTCTTGCCTAACTTTTTTCCAATGCCTTTGCTCTTTTTGGCTTGAAGAAGAACTGAGGCCTTGATACGTTGTTTCTGGTATTTGAGCGGGCATTTTCATACAACATATACAAACATAACTACATATGGCTCCAGCAGAGGCGCAAGAGCGCACATACAGACGCCAGCCAACACGTTCACAAGCAAATACAGATCTGAGATCCCCGTTACATGTTTCGATCTCTTCGTCAGGCAAGAATCTTTGCTCCCGATGTTATGACTTCCCATTTTAAGCTGGAAGCTAGAATGGTTGAACAGCGATTATGTGGCCAAACGTTCTTGTTGGTATCGTTCTACGTGCATTGCATGACAAATTGTTTGCAATTTTCCTACCAGAGCTGTTTCGCATCGTTCTGCGAATGTTTTTCTGGATACTAAGCTTATATTGAAGAAGAAGATGAAGATAATTAGGTTTGTATTGATTATCTCTTCTCAGTCATATGCTTTCTGGAGCGCGGGCTCCTTCAAGGTATCCATTTCCTTTTTATTTTTACTTATCTTCCCCGCCGATTCACTGGATCGATTTCGGCCCCAGATGAACTTAGCTACCTATGTTTATCCACACGCTTTTCTAGTAGGCCCTCTTTTAATTCAACTTAGATTAAAATTTAGAATCTTATACACAATTTTAAAGCGCTGCTGCATACGTATTTGATGAGTTTAGAAGAGTTTTGGTAGAAAACACTGTGACTTATCAAAAATGACTGAACTTTTCTGTGCACCATGTCTTCCCAGCAGAATATATATTTTTCAGCCAGCCCAACTTTCATATTCATACACGTCTTTATTTGTGTTCAGCGCCTAACAACGCTCTCGGACGGATACTTACACAAACACAAACACAAACACACACACACACATACACATATATATATATATCGAATCCAGATTGCATCTCATGTAGACACGTACTGAGATGCAGACAAGGATGCACAATTAAATACACATATATACATATTGGCTTGTGAATCATTTTCTCTTGACTCGGTTAATCGGCATTATTATAATTATACTTATTTAATCGTTATTGATTTGTCTCTTCGACTGCATCAGAATGTGCTGTTGCCTGCAAATATCTTTAAATAGACCTGGCATTCATTTCTTTTTGTTTTTTATCCACATATCTACTTGTCTATCATTTCAAGCGTCCAGCCATCAACCCATTTGCCACTTATCCAGCTGCTCATTTAATCCTTATTTCTTTTTGCTTAGTTGTCTATCCGTATATTTATTCATCAGTTACCCGCTCCCCTCCTCCCCCCGATGCAAAAAGAAATCTTCTGTTCTCTATATCTGCTTTCTTAAAACTTCCAATCAAGTGGCTCAGTTATTTCTTGAATTATTCTACTCTTACACCATCCTTAACAATATATGCACATATATTTGTCTGCGTATGCATATGTATGTGTATATGTATTCAACTATATTCGTCTCTGGGTTTGCTTTATGCATTCAATCCACAAATTAATTTCTGCTAAATAAATATTTATTTTATTATTCTATAGAATCTGTATTCACACGCGCATCCACCTACTTTTTCGAGAGCTTCCATATATATATGCGTATATATAGCATACATATAAGGAGCATATGCATAAACCTAACCAGAGCCCGCATGTGTTGCTAAGCCTACACAAAATCTTGTACCAGTTTACTCGCACTAGATAACTGGAATTTCTACCAGATGTATTATATTCCTTATTCCAAGACTAACAATATACAAGCAAAATAAAATAGCAAACTCGCTTTTTCGAATGTGTCTTATTTCTATATTTTCAGGGCCTTAGTTACTAGCATTAGTGCACCATGACCGCCCCTGACAAACAGGTTCAAAATCTGCAAGACTTCGGAGATGTTCAAGATCCCACACTCCGTGGATCTGACTTCCCTTTTACACCAAATAGGCATTTGCACCAACTGTAACATTACGTTAAAACCTTAACAACGAGATTCCTCATTAATTAGCCGTTTTAGCGATACATTTTTTCAATAGTGAAAATTGATCGGAGCAGGTAGCTTGCTGATACTCGATCCCTGATGGCATCAAATTTCATTTTTTTCCAGAAAGCCATTCCCGACCAGGTGACCCTTGCCTCATCAGAGCCTCTATCGCGACTATTCAGCCAGTCTTGCGCCCTAAGTCAATTAGAGGCAAGATGGGCCCTTTACTTCACATTTGCTTCATCAACCTATAGTTTCCACTAACTAGACTTATTGTTAGTGGCGCGAAGTTTAGTGGTATTTGAAACTGATTAGATCTGCATTAGGACGTACCATTTTCCAGAGGATTTTATCGCCCAGGCTGAACCGAAGTTCTGACCTGGCCCAGGTATTTTGGGGACTGCAAACTCGAATCGGGAGAAGTCTGTCTTGTAGTCGAATTTTCCCACAATGATACGAGTTGAGCTGACGTTTCCATTCAATTTCACACAGCCTTA